ATCAAACTCCTGTAGTAGTAGGATCCAGCGAATGATCCTAGACTTGGCATCGGCCTTACTCATCAAGTAGCGGATGGTAGAGTGATCTTTATAGACCACCACATGGGAGAGCACCAAGTAAGGCCGGAACTTGTCGAATGCATACACCACAATGAGTAGCTCCTTTTTAGTGGTAGTGTAGTTCTCATGTGCATCGTTCAGGGTCTTCGACGCTTAGTAAATGGGCTTGAAGTATTTCTCGCATCGCTGACCCAACATAGCTCTGATTGCGTAGTCACTCGCATCGCACATTACCTTAAAGGGAAGAGACCAATCAAGAGTCACCATGATAGGTGCATGGGTAAGCTTCTTCTTCAAGGTCTCGAACGCAACTCTGCAGTCGGTAGTGAAATAAAATGGTGCATCCTTCTCCAGCAGGTTGGTCAAAGGTAGGGCAATCTTTGCGAAATCCTTTATAAAGCGTCGGTAGAAACCTGCACAGAAACCTGCTGATACCCTTCACAGAAACTAGAGGAGGTAGCTTACTGATCGTCTCAATCTTCGCGCGATCTACCTCAATTCCCTGCTTGGAGATCTTGTGCCGGAGCACAATCCCCTCACAAACCATAAAATGGCACTTCTCCCATCTGAGTGCCAGATTAGTCTCCTCGCACCTCTTCAGAACGAGTTCCAGGTTATGGAGACAATGAGTGAAGGAGTCTCCATAAACATCGTCCATGAAGACTTCCATGATCTCTCCAAACTGTCGGTCGAAGATTGCCAGCATACACCGGTCGCCGGTGCATTACATAGCCCGAATGGAATCCTCCGGTAAACAAAAGTACCGAAGGGGCAAGTGAATGTGGTCTTCGCCTGATCCCCTGGCGGGATGGGAATATGGAAGTAGTCGGACATGCCATCCAGAAAGCAGTAGAATTCATGGCCAGCTAACCTCTCCAGCATCTAATCAATGAAAGGGATGGGAAAATGGTCCTTCCTGGTGGCGTAGTTCAGGCGCCTGTAGTAGATGCAGACTCTCCAGCCAGTCAAGGTCCGCATCGGGATCAGCTCGTTCTTCTCATTCGGGACCATGGTCATCCCGCCTTTCTTAGGGACCACCTGGGTGGGACTGACCCACTTGTTATCAGATATAGCAAAGATAATCCATGCATCCATCAACTTCACGATCTCTGCCCAGACCACTGCCTCCAAGTTAGGAGTCAATCTCCGCTGCGGCTACCTGACTGCCTTAACCTCATCCTCTATCAGAATTCTGTGGGAGCAAAAGGATTGGCTAATTCTTCTGATGTTAGTTATCTTCCATGCCATGGCCCAGACATACTTCTTCAACAGAGCCACCAGTCTGCTCTTCTGCTCGGGTGTCAAATTCGAGCTGATAATGACCTGGAGCTTATTCCCCTCCCAGAGAAATGCATACTCCAGGTGGAGGGGAGGGGATTAAGCTCCAGCTCTGGTTGCTCCTCCAATGATGTGGCAATCTGGGGCGAGATAGGGATCGACTTGAATGGCTTCTCTCGCCCCTCGATCGCAACTTCTTCTAGCTCCCCGAGCTGCTCCTCTAGCTACAACTCCTGCGATGCCTATTCCCCTAGCAAAAGACATCGCAATAATCTAGATCATCATGGAGCTAGGGGTGTTTCATATTATCAGAAACAAAGTAGTTGATTTGTTCACCCCCAGCCCTCAAAATTAATTTTCCATCATTCACATCGATAAGCGCCTTGGCGGTGGCGAGAAAAGGTCTACCCAGTATTAAAAGCACATCAACATCATCATTTATATCAAGAATAACAAAATTAATAGGATATGAAAATGGCCCTACTGCGGCTATCAAGTCTTCTGCAAAGCCCCGAGGATGCACAATGGACCTATCAGCTAGTTGAATGCTCATCCTAGTGTTACTGGGTTCGCCTAGGCCTAGCTTTTTAAACAGTTTATATGGAATTACGTTTATGCTAGAGCCTAAATTAGCCAAGGACTTCCCTACATGCAAACTACCAATCATGCAAGGGATAGTAAAACTCCATGGGTATTTGCGCTTCTTTGGTAGTTTATTCCGCAGGATGGCAGAACACTCCTTGTTGAGCATCACCGTCGATAGCTCCCCAAGCTTCCTCTTGTTGGTGAGGAGATCCTTCATGAATTTAGCATACTTGGGCATCTTTGACAATGCCTTTACGAAAGGCATACTGATATTCACCTGCTTCAGCATTGCCATAAACTTGGCAAACTCAGTCTCCAATCAGTCTTTGTGCAACCGAGTTGGAAAGGAAAGTTGAGTGACATACTCCTTCACCACTGGTTGTGGCTTAGGACCAGGCACCTCAATATCCTTCTCCATTTCTTCTTCAGTAGCTGGAAGTGCTGAAGCAGGTGTCTCTCTCTCCTCTCTAGCCTGGACAGGTGGGTCTGTAGTCACTTTGCCGCTCTTAGTAGTAATGGCATTGCAGTGGGCATTCAGGTCCTTTGGATTAGGAATGGTATGACCCGGTAAAGTTCCTGGTTCCCTTTGCGCAACAGTTTAAGCAACACCTCCAAGATGGGTCTGGATATCCCTCAAAACAGCCTAGGTATTCCTCTGCCTCCTTCAAGCTCCAAGAATTTGGTTGAAACTTTATCCATGAAATGCTCAATGTTATTGAATTTATGGGCACTGGAGCTGGCTAGAGAACCCACCAGATCCCGCATCTCTGCCATCGGATCATTCTGCACTGGGGTTGCAGAAGCTCACCTAGCTGTTGGAAAGTTCGCGGATGCGGTTAAGCCGCCTGCCCTAGTATGGGCTGGTAGAGAGACTGTTGCTGCTGGAACTTCCCCTACCTAGGCTGGTATGGCGGTTTCTGTAAGCTTGGAGGTCCCTAGGAGACTGGTGACTTAGGATTATGTCCATTCCAGGAGAAGTTGGGATGCTAGCGCCACCCCTCGTTATATGTGTTGCTGTAGGGGTCGAAGCGCTTGACATTGCCGATGAAGTCCAACTGCTCCCGGAGTGTAGTTGACTCCCTCATCGCCTGACAGTCTTTGACAGTATGATGAGAGCTCTCGCACCACTGGCAACGCATTGCCTGCTGCTGTCCTATCCTGGGAACCATTCTAGAACGATCAAGGGTTGAGACCAACATCGACACAACCTGCACCAACTCAGACAACTGGGTGCCCACCTTGAAGGCATCATTGAAACCATGATTGGGACACTTTAGCAAGAGACTAGTGTATCTCTCCCAAGCATCTCGAATGGTTTCATCTTCCTCCTGTGAAAAATGAGTGATCTCCTTCTACAAGTCCCCTATCATTGATGGACGATGATAGCAGGTGAGGAATTTGTCCGCCTGGTTGGCGAAAGTAGTGATCGATCCCGGAGGCCGAGTGTCCAGCCACTCCTTGGCCTGCCCCTCTAGGGTGAATGGGAATTATCTCGGCTAGATGGCATCGGTAGTGAAACAACCTAACCCTGCCGGGTACTACTTTTACTAAAATGCCATTGATAAATAAAATACGCAAATCTTAAATTACAACGGGAAAATTTTTCATAAATAAAATACAGAAACCACACACTTGTAGCTCAGAGCAAAGCCCTAACACGTGGGCAAATTAAACTCAAACTTTAAAATCTCAATCCAGTCTGTACTCATAATCATAAATGTAAATAACTAATAATCTATGAAGTTGTTGCTACTGAAAACCTGGACTAAGCATCCTCAGTGACGCTTATACTGCTCTCCTCTAGCTGGTTGCCCTCGAACTCGCTGCTCACTAAATGCTCCTCTAGCTCTTCCTCTAGCTCTTCAAACTGGTGAGTGAGATGGGGTCAGTCTACGCCCTTACGTTTAAAATTCTTACTGCTTAGTACTTTACTTAAAACACTTACTTAAATTTGTGGAAGTTGTTTGTACTTCCACTCTTCAAATTCCTAACTCTTAAAACTGCATGGGAGTTACTGTTACTCTACATTCTTAAAGCACAAATCTCGACTTAAATACTTGACTGACACTGGGATCCCTCACTAGCTAGTCCGGTTGCCAACTCATACGTATGAGAAGCCATCCTGGCTTTCCTTAAACTTAAACTTAGTTAGGGAAGTCGTAACGATTCATCCCCCTAACACCTTAAACTTATCGTGGTGGCTCTTCACCACGATTCTCAAGAGCATAACTGCTGCTCAACTTAAATATCTCAAAAGCATAATTGGTGCTCTGTCTCAAAGATTTCCAGAGCATAACTGCTGCTCTATCTGAAAATCTTAAATGACAACGGACTGGCGCTAGTGACTAAAAACACTTAAAACGACTTCACCTTCTTGAAGGTGAGTTACTTCTTTAAAAGAACTTGTTTCTTACTCTTTAATAATAACTCCTAAATGCAAAGCTTTAAAGTAAATAACAACTCCTACATACTCACTCCACTCATAGCTCAAACAAAGCACATATCACCCATCATACACATAATCAAGCAACGGTAACCAATTCTCTAAAATACTTAAAATCATAGTACTTAAAAGAATACGTAAGGCGTAGAATTTACCCCCTTTACACTCTCACCTTAGGGTCAAATCGATTGACTTGAACTCGCGTTAGATTCGTCTCTGCTTACATGAACGCTCGCAACTCCATTCCTCAGTGTGCTTCCCGATAGCTCTTTAAATGATTTTGCCATGGGAACAGAGACGGGTCAGGTGGGACGCCGAGAGTTTCTGCCGCTGTGGCGAACTTGCGACCAAAGAAAGCGCCGAGAGAAGGGATTGAAGCTTCTACTCCAGCCCATAGCGCAAGCCTTTGAAGGTGGTCGAGTTTCAGCATCGCCTCACAACAATATATCATGGAGGGTTAACTCTTGTACGAAGGATGGGGATCCTTCGGGCTAGTTCAAAGATCTGGCTGGTGACTATTACGATGCTGGAGACGCAAATAAGTTCAATTTCCCTCAATCGTATGCCATGACCATGTTGAGCTGGAGTGTGATCGAGTACAGTGCAAAGTATCAAGCTTCCGGCGAGCTCAATCATGTTAAAGAGATCATCAGGGGGGAGGACTGATTATTTCCTCAAGACCTTCCCAGGTTGGATCGGGGATACTTCCGGAGGCATGTCAACTCCAAATGGACACTACTGCTGGACGCGCCCTAAGGATATTGATCACGAGGTGGGCCCTTGTCCTGCGCCCTTCCGAAAGGCGCCACTTTTGGCTAAACATGATCGACACGCCGCTGTGCCTTATGAAAGTGGTGATCAAATTGAGGCGTCACTTTCCTCCCGAGAAGATTAGGTTTTGGATTGGGGTTTTTTTCTTTTTTTTATATAATAGTAATAATAGTTATTATTATTATTATTATTATTATTATTATTATTCCTAATCCCTGGTTGTAACTCTTTGTACATACTCGCTAAACCCATCGTTCAAGTATTATAGTCGAACCGAAACCCAAAGGTCGGGGTGTTACATTTCCTCCACCCTTATAAAAATTTCGTCACCGAAATTTGTTCGGAGCTCATCTCTCCTTTAACACCATTCTTGTACTTCCTTGCCTAAAAAATTTACTCTCGCTATATGAACCTTGATGATGTCCGTTGCTTGTCCCGTATAGTTTACCTCACCTCAAGTTATTTCCTCTTGACCATAAAAGGTATTCTCAACAAGCTCATTAGCATCGAGTAGCTTTGAGTGGCTACTTGTCCCTTTTTAATTCCCCCATCTAGTGATGGAACAAAATTATCGATTCACTTTGTTGGTCCAGCTCCTTCAGCACTCGTTGTTGGCCCTTAAATCGGAGTCGAAGTATCACATTTCCTCCCCACTTAAAGAAATTTGGCCCTTGAAATTTGTCCATTGTGATTACCCTAAGAATCGCTTGTGGAAATCCTTTTCACTTCGCAGATTTTTATTTCTTTTAACTTATACGACATGACCTAAAATCCTTCTCTCCATTCCCTGCAACTTCAATGTTGTTGTGGCTTCTTAACCCCTCACATTACCTCGGCTGCACCCTGTACATATATAGGGACGATAACTATCCATTGTTTGGTAACGAGACGTTAATGCTCCTCTTATATCTCTTCTCATCCATAACAAGTACTCTCTCTTAGCTTGCAGCACTTGTGTAACTTGAGTGACTCACTTCCCTTTTAATTCTAAGCAACTTGGCTCGGTCGCATGCTAAAAAAAATTTCGATTCGATATGATTCGTGGTCCAACTCACTGCCCTTATAAAACTCTTTAAACGTAAACCCGTCTGTGGTTGACCACATCGGTCACCTACGTCCTTGTATCTCCTAACTTATATCTCTTACTTTCTTCCTTGATACTTCATCTTATCCTTTGATCATAAACTGAAAGGTCATCTCCTCGTTACTTCTTTCTTAACGCTGAGACCTCGTACTATCGCTTTTACTTTCTGTATGCATCAGAGGCATCCATTGCATCGCACCCCTAACTTGCATTCAAATTAATGCTTCTTTCAAGAATCATGACATCCTCTTTGGCTTGCTTGTTCACCACTGGTCGCCTAACTAAATACTCACTTATTGTCGCTTGAATTTGCAATTCTCGTACTATCTATTCTGCTACTCCTTGACCCTAGCTGAAATTCCACGTACGGTTTCCCCGACCAAGATATTTTCTCCCAAGAGATTTCCACCTTTCACCAGGATAGGCGACCTTGGTTTCACCTTGGGGTATCCTACCAGGTTCACTAAACTCATATCGATCTTACTTCTTTACTCATGACTCCTCTTACCGATGTTTCTCGCTAGTTCTATATGTCCCTCGTCCTCGATGTAGTCATCTTGGTGCCCATATTCTCTTCTGACTTATGTACCTTGACCGATAAGGTTTTCCCTTCGACCGTTCTGGGCCACCACACTTCTACTTTAAAGTTGACCATTGAGCTTCTCAGTTCTTGATGGGCTTCCTATGGTCCAACTTATTCTCCACTGGAAATCACCTTAACGCCTCCTTGTTGACCTCCATATTCTTTCGCCGGCTCTTCCTAACTATCTTTCTCCCTGACTTTGTCGTTTTATCAACTACCACCCTTTTCACCATAACCTTCATTATAGCCTTGTGGTTTCCTCCTTACTTCCACAACTCCTTCATCGATGCTTGGTACTAGCTTTGATCTACTCAGTTTAGTAGCTCTTCGCCATACCTCCGAGCCAACATTTCCACTAGAAACTTTCTCTAGGTAGACTTGCCAGATGACACCCACGATGGTGCTTGACCATGTCCCAACTATCTTCCTTCACGCATTCATTGTCCGGTCGACAACCATTTTTTTTATTTTTTTTATTTCCTATAGCGTTCTATGGTGCTCTCCTTGCTTCTTTACTTTTACTACCCTTCTGTTGATACTTTGTACTATTTTCGGTCACCAAACTCTGTGGAGTATCTTCTCGTTGTTGTTTTGGGTCAAAGCTTCCAATAGTGGCTTGCCCTTGGTAGGCTTGAACATACCTCATCCACGTCTTTTGTCTCGACCGATGCTTGTACATTGCCTTAATCTCTTAGTCATGGCTCTTAGTTGCTTAACTAAATATTACTAATTTATCCGTAAATTGCCTTCTTTTATGGATGACATCCTACTATGTTGTACTCGCTCAGAGTGGGACACCTTGGGTAAGGTAACTTAATGATTTCCTTCTTCTTGGTAATGCTTTTCCTCTTCGTACTCCACTATGCATTTTCTTGAACCCGAGTCACCTACACATATTCTCATCCTTCATCGGAACTTTCATGTGCTTCCTCGAATTCTCTGCCACTCACTAGAACATTTATCGAACGTTCCACTTACTTGTCCATAATCGGTTGGCTTAATGACTTACTCCTATACGGCTTAATGACTTACTCCTATACCTAGTTTCGGGACTTCAGCTCTTAGCCCTCTAGTTCCAACTTATTAGAGAGGTTCCTCCTTCTGTCACCCCTCATGTACCCTAGGAGGCTAGGTGCGCCCTCCATTTAGGATAGGACAATCCCATAACAGATCATCGTGAACTCTTGCACTCCCCTTTCAACGGTCCCAACATCCTCTTGACCCTTTTGTGATCTGGGTAGTTTGTAGGGTCTCTAATATCCTTTTTCTAACTCGGTGTTATCTTGGTATCCAACTCACATACCGCTGAGAAATGGTTCTCTATTCGTATTGCCATTTACTAGCTAACTGTTATTCTCTCTCACATTCCACGTCTTTTCTGATGTATTGACTCCCCACTGTCTTCTACAAGGCATGCCTTAGACTTTGGTGGCACTTTCCCCCATGTCTCGTCCAATGGTGGTCGTACCGAGACCATAACTTGTCCTCTACATCATTTATCTTGTTGCTTGTCTTGTTCCTTTTAAAGGCTTGCTATCAGCCTAACTCCCCAGGGTCATGTACCCTCCTCTCCTCCTTGACCTGTTGACTTCTTGACATCCTTTCATACTCCCTGCAACCTACTTATTTCCTCCTTTGCTTCATTTATACTACCCTAGCTTTTCTTAAAGTCTAAGCTTTCCTCTACTCCTTGTCACTATGTTGTAATAGCGTCAAGCCGTCGACAACTAAAGCTAGTTGAGGGACTTCTTGTGGTACCTCTTCTTTTCTTGACTTGTTGCCTCCTCGCCACTACTTAGGGTCAAGAACCCTGAAATCCTCTAATCATTATAGCTACTGCCATCTAGTGATTGTAGCTCTTTCTTCGGAGATTCATAGTCCTCCTATTTGTTTGCTTTTGCTTATTAGATCCTCTCCTTGCTTCCTAGTAGTAGAATCCTCATACTACTCCTTCAACTACTTCAAAATCCTAGAGGTATTCCCTTACGATTGGAACCTCTTAAAACTGTATGGGAGTTATTGTTACTCTCCATTCTTAAAGCTCAAATCTCGACATAAATACTTGACTGACACTGTGATCCCTTACTAGCTAGTCCGGTTGCCAACTCATACGTATGAGAAGCCATCTAGGCTTTCCTTAAACTTAAACTTAGTTAGGGAAGTCGTAACGATTCATCCCCCTAACATCTTAAACTTATCGTGGTGGCTCTTCACCATGATTCTCAAGAGCATAACTGCTGCTCAACTTAAATATCTCAAGAGCATAACTGCTGCTCTGTCTCAAAGATATCCAGAGTATAACTGCTGCTCTATCTAAAAATCTTAAATGACCACGAACTGGCGCTAGTGACTAAAAACACTTAAAATGACTTCACCTTCTTGAAGGTGAGTTACTCCTTTAAAAGAACTTGTTTCTTACTCTTTAATAATAACTCCTAAATGTAAAGCTTTAAAGTAAATAACAACTCCTACATATTCACTCCACACATAGCTCAAACAAAGCACATATCACCAATCATACACATAATCAAGCAACGGTAACCAATTCGCTAAAATACTTAAAATCATAGTACTTAAAAGAATACGTAAGGCGTAGAATTTACCCCCCTTTACACTCACCTTAGGGTCAAACCGATTGACTTGAACTAGCGTTAGATTCGTCTCTCCTTACATGAACGCTCGCAACTCCATTCCTCAGTGTGCTTCCCGAAAGCTCCTTAAGGCCTCGTTTGCTAATGGGATTTGGAAATGAGGGTTTTGGTCTAGATTTGGGTTTTGAAAACCTTAAGGATTTATAATGGATTTGATACATTGTGTTTTTGTAAAGTCTCTTGTTTGCTATATAGATTTGATCATGGATTTAAGGGTTAGGGATTTATGACTAGAAAAGGTAGATTACCACATTGTCCTTCTTTATTTCTTTTACTATTTATTTATACCTTGTTATTATTAGCAGCCTCATCGCAAGTTTTTCCTTTGCAAAAGAAGTGAAGAGTTGCAGACTATGAAGCAAAGGTTGGAGCATTTGGAGTTAGAGTCTTCAAGGAGGAAGTGATTGTAACATAAGCTGTATAATCCTATGTGGAATGTTGTTGGCTAGCTAACATAGTTAGCATGTATTTACTTGTATGAATAAAATCGCGCTTGATGCTGCAAATGTAAACAGTAGGAAGTGAATGAAAGCTTGATTTTGTCCCTTTCATGGTGTTAATAAATTGCTGCAACTTTCAATGTGTTTGGCCTATGAAATATGTAGCAAGTGTGCAATGAATCTTCTGAATCTGCAGAAGGTTTGCATAAAATAGGACAATACTATGTTCCCATACATTATAGTAAGATTCTTACATATACAACAAACTTCCTGAATCTGCAGAAGGTTTACATAAAATAGGACAATACCAAGTTCCCATACATTATAGCAAGATTCTTACATATACAACAAACTTCCTGAATCTGCAGAAGGTTTAATTACATAAAATAGGACAATACCATGTTCTCTTACATTTTACTACACACGAGTTGGAATGATAAATAAACTTCATCAAAATCAAACTATTCCTACCTTCATCAACATCCTAAGCACTGTCCAATCCTGGTTGCTTCGACTTGCCAAAAATTGAAGTTTCACATACCATTCCACATGTGTTGTACAAAATCTTATGTCCAAATGCTAGCTACCCCCATTTATGGTCAACTTAGTAGACTCTTAACAAAATAGAAGCGGTCCTCTTCGTTCTTAAGAGCATAAAAGAGTTTTGTCTTCGATTCATTGTCCACTAGAGCAATTGCAGCATCAATGACTTGGCATCGTGTTAGTCCATCAATTTTTCCAATCAAAGCCATTAGTGTAGCTTGCTTACTGCTGTCATTATCTTCATCACCTAGTATGGATCCAAGAGCTTCTACAGCCTTGTCAATAACATGCTTCAAACCACCAAGCTCAGACACAACATTCGCTATAGCTTCATCATTGTTGAACTCGACCCTTTTAGCCTTCTTCTTAGCAGCAGAGTTGCTGCCAACAGCACCCTTCGCAGATGGCTCCCCCTTAGTTGCCTGGTCATGTGCCTGCTGATGCCCTGCACTTTCTCTAAGACTCTGCTCAATTCCTTCATTCATGATGTCAACGGTATTCTTCCGCTTTCTTAGAGCGTAATCCTCCCCACTCCTTGAGATGATACCGCTGCCCACGGTATGGTGTTAAGAATCCTTCACAATTGCTATAACCTTGATCACACAAGTAATACGTGCCTAGCAAATGAAACCAATCAGTCAACTCTAGACGCATTTAATACACCTTTATGTTTTTTTGTGACATGTTTAGCCTACATTACCTTTTGGAACCCGCAACCCATTTGGCCTTAGCAATGCATCTCTAAGCACCTTCCCATCATGAGCTGAACCTTCCTAACCAGCTAAGCAATATACGAACTCAAGATTTGAATTACAGACCCCCAAAACGTTCATTGAAACAGTCCGCTTGCGGTCTCGATATCTAGGCTGGTCTTCATCTAGTTCCCAAGCAGCCCTAAGGAACAAAACAACTTTATTACACTAATGTTGAACTTTTTAGCTATACATAAAGAAAATAAAAAGATGCTTTAGTCACCTTAAAGAATTTCCACTTTGCATCATCAGAGTTTTCTGGTATAGGTGTTCGCTGGGGTATTAGGATGGGATGGAGTCGGAGAATAGAACGAAGGACCTTATGGAATACTTTTGAAATGGTTTACCCTGATCTACAGAAATCTTGTTGTAGGATTATGTTCTTGACGTTGTGTCCAATTGTGCCCAAGAAAATCATCACCATCTCATCTATGCCTACATCATCCGTACAATTAACCCCCCCCCCCCCCACTGACAAGTAATTCACACAACTTCCTAAACAAGGTTCGGTTCATCCGAACCTTATGAATACATCGACTATCAGAAAGTTCAAGTGTGCGTCTCATAACGCCTCCTATCATATTGACGATCAAATATGTTATCTAAATTGGTATTCCGAGGTCTTCTAGGCTCTAATAACCTTCTCAATACCAAAAGCTCAAGAAACTGAATCGACAACGAAAAATAGACAAGCAATAGTCCTAACACTATACTAATGGCCTTTGCGGCTTTCCGATTCCGCACATTAGATATCCTTCTCAATCGAGCCATTTCCTTTATAGAAATCAAAATGAGTGAGAGTTAGAAAGACATATCAAATACCAAACAATTAAAATAATGACATGACACAATAATATTGGAAAAACAGAACAAATATATTAGCAGAAGGTGGAATCGCACCAAAAGAGGCAGAGGGTATAACACAACACATAATAATGGAAGAATAAACACATATATAAACAAAGCATTAGAGCAACAGCCCTCTCATCACAAATGGAGGCATTTTAAAGGCGAAAGAATCGCCTAGCCCTTCCTTTGAAATTAGGGTTCAAATAGCAGCTTGAGATGGAGTAACTGGACATTTTAGAGATCCCACAAGATGGTCAAAGTTGGACTCACCTGATTAATGATGTTGCGCCTGTATTGTTGACGAAAAGGACTTCTCCGCTGCTGAGTTCAACCGCTCTTTCTTTCTTCCTCTTCAATGGTCGTTGGAGGCTTGAAGAGCACCTGTGCTTTCTCTCTTGCGACCTATTAATACGAAAGGGAATAGATAATAATTGTTCCAGGGCAAAGGTGGAATAAACAATTGCTTGGACAGGGGAGTCAATTTGCACCATGTTTTTTTTTGTCTCTAGGCAAATACCAATGAAAATGTGGTATTTACAAATCCGTGGGGTCCACGGATTTGGTCCAAATTTTTTTGATCCAAATCCGTGGACCCAACGGATTTGTGTACCAATTTTATACCTAGCAAACAAAGGACTTACTCAAATACATGATGGTTGGGGTTTTCAGGGCAAATACAACACCCAAATCCTATAAGCAAACGAGGCCTAAATGACTTTGGCATGGGAACAGGGAAGGGTCAGGTGGGACGCCGAGAGTTTCTGCCGCTGTGGCGAACTGGCAACCAAGAAAGCGCCGAGAGAAGGGATTGAAGCTTCTGCTCCAGCCCATAGCGCAAGCCTTTGAAGGCGGTCGAGTTTCAGCATCGCCTCACAACAATATATCATGGAGGGTAACTCTTGTACGAAGGATGGGGATCCTTCGGACCAGTTCAAAGATCTGGCTGGTGGCTATTACGATGCTGGAGACGCAAATAAGTTCAATTTCCCTCAATCGTATGCCATAACCATGTTGAGCTGGAGTGTGATCGAGTACAGTGCAAAGTATCAAGCTTCCGGCGAGCTCAATCATGTTAAAGAGATCATCAAGAGGGGGGGGGAACTGATTATTTCCTCAAGACCTTCAACCACACGGCTGATACGATCAACGTACTTGTTTCCCAGGTTGGATCTGAGGATACTTCCGGTGGCATATCAACTCCAAATGGTCACTACTGCTGGACGCGCCCTAAGGATATTGATCACGAGTTGGGCCCTTGTCCTGCGCCCTTGCGAAAGGCGGCGCTTTTGCCTGAACATGATCGACACGCCGCTGTGCCTTATGAAAGTGGTGATCAAATTGAGGCAGCACTTTCCTCCCGAGAAGATTTGGGTTTTGATTGGGGTTTTTTCTTTTTTTTATATAACAATAATAATAATAATAGTAATTATTACTATTATTATTATTATTGTTATTATTATTCCTAATCCCCGTTTGTAACTCTTCGTAGATACTCGCTAAACCCACCGTTCACGTATTATAGTCGAACCGAAACCCAAAGGTCGGGGTGTTATAGGCGGGACCCCATTTATCTTGATTCCATCGATTAGCTCGTGGAATCTTCGTAGGTGCGATATGGGGCACTCCCCCTCCTTTCCACGGAATACCACCGAGCCACGCAACATGGTAATGACAGTGGTGCTCACCTCGAAGTTGTTAGCTAGAACTTGAGGGTGCTGGATGGAAGACCTCATGTCTGCGGCTCTGGCAGTCCAGTAGCATCCCATGGTGTGCTCCTCGGGGACAACCGCATTATCGTTTACCGGATCACCCATTCTTCCTCCTCGGTGATGCGTAGTTTCTCCAAAACTTCCTCTGCATCCAGTCGTGCCTTCAAAGCTCGCTTGAAATTCCACCAAGTTCGTTCAAGGTCTGGGTCTAACAACAATAGATCTCCAGACTGGCTACGGGTCATGCACTACCTGCACACAAACTGCAAACACAACCCGTGAAGGCACATAGTTGGAAGAGAGAAAATGTAGTAAAGAAAATGATAAAGTAACAGACTTTCACGTTTCTACAATAACCTAGAGTTCCCGGCAACATCACCAAAAACTTGACACGCTACGACACAACACCAAACTGCGACCAAGTGTAATCGCAGAATGGAAATGCAGAACAGTGGGTAAGTTTAATTTATCAACTCGGGGTCTAGATCTACTGTCTACTTCGTGAATTTCTATTATCTAGTGAGACTAAGTTTAGTGAGAATTGAGTTTAACTAAAGCAGAAAGAAAGGAGTAAATTGTCTGGTATTCTGAAGCAAGAGAAGAGTCACTCGGGAATGAGTCCCCCTAGCTCCTTAGTTAGGTTCACGTTGTAATTTCCTTTGGTTGACTTACTATTGATTAAACTGCGGAAGATCCGACAGTAGTTTGGAATCTCTTAAGCTGCCAAGCCCTCTCAGACATACTACCCGGCAAATGTGACTCGCTATGACACAACTCCTAACAATGGCCAAGTGTAACCAATGGAAGGGTCTGCAGTATAGTGGCTCAAGTAATAAATATCGAATCCACGGGTCTCTAGAGTTACTATTACTCAGCTTCAGTTCATTATTTAGCAAACCAGATTAATAAGGAAGAAATCTAATTACAGATTAATAAGGAAGAAAACTAATCTAGCAAACTACAGTTAAAGTTAATCTAATTACAGGTTGGGAACTCACTTAGGTATGATTCCCCCTAGCCACTAGCCAGCCTAACGATTGATGATCTCTAACTTGTTTCACTTTCATTCACAATGCGGAGAATCCTTGACTAGACCTTGAGTCTCGACTAAAGGAACAAGGCCCTCTTGAGTCAATTGCCTAGAGGGACGTATCCTTCTCTAGAACAACTGATCAAGGCGTTCTGAACTAGACTCCCTCTATCGAAAGAGGTTCTCAATCGATACAAAGAAGTGAATCAACCCTCGACTAAAGCAATCGATCCACTCCTATCAATCTATGGTCCTCTATTGACCTAATCATGTATTCCCTCTCATAGGATCAAAGCAGAATCAATAATCTCGACTAAAGCAGAATTGAATCATGAAAACATGCATAGATTGAATATGAACTCAAGATTATCAAGTCAGAGTACTCATACAATCATCCAATCAAACAAACATAGCTAGGGTTCCTCAAAACCTAAGTGCAGGGAAGTTACTTCATAGAGAAGAGAGAGACTGCAGAAATCTGATCTAGATCTTCAATCTCCATCTCCAAGCTTGATTCCCGAGCTCCAATGGAGAAGAAATCCTCCAAAATAGCTCCAAGAATGTTCCCAAGTCACTCTCTCTCTCTAGGGTTCGTCCCTTGGGTGTTTGGGAACCAAAAACCCAGCTCTTCCCTTTCCTTTGGCTGAAAATCGAGTTTTAAACAAAAATTCCCGATCGCGCGGCCAGGCCACACGGCCGTTTGACTTTCCTAGCTGCCCGTGTGAAGGCTCGGTGATTTCCACACGGCCACGACCCACACGGCCGTGTGGAATTCCAGGATGCTCGTGTGGCTTGCTCAGCCTCTTTTAATGCTTCGTTTCTCCCTCGCCCGGACTCCGAATCAGTCCCCATTTGATCCCAGACGCTCGTAGTTTCATCCTCCTTCTTTTCACGACAAGATTGCATGATTCTTAGTCCATAAAGTGAGGTAGAAATCCATTCTTCTTCAGGTCATGCCCGAGTTTCTTCTCCCGAATCGTCAATTAATCTCTGATTGATTTGAAACTTGCGCCTATGCTTCACTTTATGTGCTAGGACCTGAAATGTGACAAAGGAACACAACCTAGCATAAAATAGGACAAATACGCAATAATTCAAGCTCAAACAATCAAGAAACAAAGGGGAAAACATGTGCAAATACTGAGTCATCAAAACGACTAGTCTTCACCGAGATAGAACGCTAAGGCAATTAACACAGAACTCCACTACTGGAAACCAAATCCATTACAAAGCAGTGAATTGACTGACTCTCGTACAATCAATTCACTCCAATCGATTAAAGAAGCTCTAACAATATAATCAGATTCTATCTATCTCAGGTTGCAGCAGAAATCAAAAGAAGTTGATCAAGATTCAATTGACTCAATAAACACACTTCAATCGACCCTTGTGGCGTCTCTGGAAATCCCACACGACTAAAATTGACCCTTGCACGGCCCGTACCGCCTTGACCGCGCAAAAGGTTTCACGCGGCCAAGTCACACGGTCGTGTG